TTTTTTTTTGGTACTGGGGATCGAACAAGTGGGACCTTGCACTTGCGAGGCAGGCGCCAGAACCACTGAGCTAAATCCCTGGCCCTAAAAATTAGCTAATTTGAATTTTAGGGGAGATTGGTAGAAAATTTGAGCTTGATATCTATAAAAAGAAAGGATGCAAAATTCTGATATTTGGTATTAATCTACCATTTCCAGAATTTTCTTTTCATTCTCTCTTGGCTGTAGATATATGTGAGTATATTAACTTAGGTCAGATAAGAATAGATGTCATATCTTAACTTACTAAGAGATTTAAAAGACTAAGAAATGTTTTGGGAGGTAGCAGTTCTGGGATATAATCCACATAGCGTAGGAATCAGTGCACTGTCTGTAAAGCAAAGTTGTCAGCTATAATTCATTATAGAACATAGAGAAATAGAATTATAAAACACATATTGTAAAACACGGATATTAAATGGCAGATTAATTCAGATGCTGCAAATAAGAATTTGTCCTAAATAAAAGAGGAATCAAACTGCGTCCAGTAAAAAGTTAGATATCGCACTTTCTTTCCAAAGCAAGGCTTCTCTTGAGAAATATGTTCCTCAGGGCAGATTTTACATCCTTATTCCTCAGGCTATATATCAGTGGGTTCAACATGGGGGTTACAAGATTATTCACTATTTGAATTACAGCACCAAGAAAGGGACTGGGGTTGGGCTGCAGATAGATGATGACGATTGGTCCATAAACACAAAGGATTGCAGTGAGGTGGGCACTGCAGGTGGAAAATGCTCGTTGCCTGCCCTCTGTGGAATGAATTTTCAATATGGAGATCACAATGCAAAAGTAGGAAACAAGAATGAGAAAAAAGCAAGCCAGAGACACAAGACCAACATTTGTAAATCCTACCCTCTGAGCTACAGATGTGTCCTCACAGGCTAGAGGCAACACTGCAGGAATATCACAGAAGTAGTAGGCCACCTGGTTGGAGCCACAGTAGGGTAGCTGGAAGGTGAGGGAGGTTAGGATAATGGCATGGACACAGCCACTCATCCAGGTTCCTGTGGCCAATACAGAGCACACCCTGTGGTTCATGATGACCGTGTATCTCAATGGATAGCATATGGCAACAAAGCGGTCGTAGGCCATCACTAGGTATAAGAAAGCCTCAGTGCAGCCCAGGAAATGGTAGAAGAAGAGCTGAGCAGCACAGCCCTGAAAAGAGATACCTTGACTGTGCCCTGAAAGGTAGGACAACATCTTGGGGACAGTAGTCGAAGAGAAACTCAGGTCAAAGATGGAGAGATTTCCCAAGAAATAATACATGGGAGTGTGAAGCCGAGAGGAGGACAAGATAGCAGCAAGAATGAGCACATTTCCCAGGAGGGTACATGAATACAATGATGAGAACAGGAAGAAAAGAGCAGTCTCTAGGCCTTCTGTCTCAGGGATGCCCAGCAGGATGAATTCAGTCACCGCAGTGTGATTTCTCATTTTTGTGGAAGAATCAGCCTTGGGTGTCTGTGAAAAGAAATTTGTGGCTATATTTAACATTCAGGTAAAGTAACTGTGTTTACATCAGTGAAATGGTAAGAAAGAATAGGAACTAGATAGTACATGGCATTGCTTCCTAAATGAATTGTTTTGATCTGCTTGTTTCTCCCTAGATCTGATGTTTTTCTGCAGTTCAGTTTCTCATGTCACGTAGTCCTTATTAACAATCTTATCAGGAAGGCTTATATGTCCAGTCTCCTAACTTCACTTCTTTGTACATATCTGCAAATTGCACCAATTCTATATGATTTTTTGTGATTCTAAAGTGAAAAATACAGAATATTTTATTTGAAATAAAGCTACAACCACATTTCTTACATCTGTTCAGGTAAGTTTGATTCCATTCAATCTCCAGTAGTCATTTGGGTAATAGAAGCTAAGCGAAATTAAAGGTATAGTATATTCTCTCATTATCTCACTGGATCTGAGAACTAACAGTGATAAATAATCCAAAATATTTTAGGTCTTCATGAACAGAAAATTACATTAACAAGTTCCTAGTTCTCTGGAGTCCCAAGAGTTTATTCCAATGAGTATGTGGCTCTAGAATTTCCAATACAATTTAAGCAACAGTAATTTTGTAGTGGCAAATTAGAGAGGATAGGAGTTATAAAGACTCCAAGTTTCATATTTTAAAAAATTCTGTTGCCATGGTCTTTTTGTTTTAAATTTGCCAGCAGAGTAATACCTTTAAATTATAGATCAACTCATGGATTTTGTTAATGGTGATAGGAAGAAGAGGGAGAAAGTGACAGCCAAGGTAGAAATTGAAGAATAGAACTTGAACACTTGCCTGGCATGCAGGGAACATAACTGCTTGGTGCTATTGAGCGTTGTTTTCCTTTCCTTCCTCTCAGAAGGAAGGAGCCTCTCTGCTTAACCCCTCCTCATCCTGCAGTCTGCTTGTAGGTGTGCGGAATTCTGCTATTTTTCGGTCACTGTCAGGTAGAGTGTCACACATCCCCATGTGGTTCAGCTCCCTGGCAGTAATTTCCTGTGTGACTCCAGGAAGTGCCATGAGTCATAAACAGGAGATTTATAAATCACCTTGGCTTCCTTTGGGTGTTAGTCTCCCAAGTCAGGAATCTTATTGGGCAAGGGAACAATTATCTAGTTGGTATAATTAGACCTTAGAAATGAGATAGAAATTTTACATTTCTTGTAAAATGTGCTTCATGGAAAAATAATTTTCAAAAATTCCTTTGATATCTATATCATATATATTTACATTGAATTTTTACATTTATTGCTTTTTCATGTGGTATTGAGTTTATAAATAATTGATGCATTATTTTACTGTACAGTGCCAATAGGTTTGATTTATTGCAACAGTGCCTGTGGTAACTGAGAGAATTAAAGAAACTGATGCAAACCTAGGCCCAGGAAAGGTGGGGACTAGTACAGCTCTAGGCACGGTGGTAGGAAAATTTAAGGAGCAGCCTCCAGCTCTGCCATCAGCTGGCTCAGTCACAGCAGCTTCTCATTCTGTGTGCTTCAGCTCTGTGGCCAAGACATGGAGTACAGTGCAGTGGAGATGGTAGTTTCCAGAAGGTGAAGAAAAGACTACTGACCTGAGAAAGGAGGGAGAGACATATTGAGAAGCCAAAAAAAAATGTTAGTTATCACTTCAAGAATCTATCTTAGATTTGTTAGTAATTCCAATGCTAAATATCCTGAATACTCAATAATACTGGGAAGGGGAAGGTACAACTAATTCATCAATGAATACACTTCTTCATTTTTAATATATGCACACATAGCTTAAATGCATTCCACCAAATATTGAATGAGAAGGCAATGTCAGTTATTAATTTCTTGTCAAGAGGATAGAAGTTAAGGAGTGAGTTTGTTAGCCATACCCCCTTAGTCTAAAATATCCTAATCTATGTAGAAGAGAAAGAATTACACAGTCTTACTGAAACCTCAAAATTCTGATGAATTCTTCTACAGTTAACTGAAGTAAGGGTCGAAGAAGTTAAATAACTTCTATCATGAAGTTTGCCTTAGTGGGTGGGAATTGGCATTGAATTTACTTTTCAGGACTTTTATGCATCAAATTTCTGGTCATACTGGCAAACAGAATACAGCAAATTATCAAAAACTTTATACATCACGGCCAAATAGGATTCATTCCAATTATGCAGGGGTAGTTCAACTTACAAATATCAATAAATGTAGTATACTGTATTAACAGAGGTAAGAAGAAAAACCACAAGGTCATCTCAATAGAGTGAGAAAAAGCATCTGGCAAAATCCAACATTCATTTATGACAAAAACCCTAAAGAACATTGGAATAAAAGATCCTTTTCTCAATATGATAAGAGTTTTTTTATTACAAATCACCAGGTAACATCATACTAAATGGAGAAAAGCTGAAATCAGAAAGAAGACAATGATGCCCCTTATCACCTTTCTTGTTCTGAATATATCAGCCAAAGTAATTAGACAAGAGAAAGAAATAAAAAGCGTATGGGTAGGAATGTGTATGGATATTGTGGGAAATTGTAGAATTTAGCTATCTAGTTGTAAAAATTGATCACAAGAAGTTTGTTAACTGAGAAAATTAAGAAGTCGTTTCTGGGAATTTCCACAAGTCCATTTGTTAAAAGAATGCCAGGAAACTTTAAGAGACGTTGTAAAAGTTTCATGGGAGAAAAACAGGTTTTCCTAGTTTTCTTATTTACCATTGTCCGGGATCGGAGAACCGTGACCCAATAACTCTACGGGTGGTGAGAGAGATATGACTCACTATTTACATCTGTGATGTTTGCTGTGGGCCAGTGGGCTTGGTTTCTGCTGAAGTCACCCTGCTTTCTTGATACCATCTGATAAGTAGAGGGCTGCGGTGTGCTCTTAGGTGTACAGGATTGGTGAACAGAAATGAGGGAATTATAAATTCACCTGTAGCTTTTATGAGTCACTTAAAGTCACTTGTTGTCACCAGAGGTTAAAATCAGAAAGACAATAGCCAGAATAACTAAGCTGCTTTCCTACATGTATAAAAGCCTTACTTCTTTCCTTTGTGATTGTCACACAGTGTCAGAGGAATTAAACTGCTGTTCATCCCCCAGGCTGTCTCCTTTTCTTTTTTTAAAGGTCGGTGCTCTCCGGGGTCTCCGGTCTCCCTTTAGAGAGACCACCGACAGATATGAGTATGGGTATAAATTAAATTATTATTATTCTGTGATGGTATGATCCTCTATGTAGAAGACTCCAAAAACTCCACCAAAAGAATCCTAGAATTAATAACCGTATTTGGTAACATAGCAGGATAAAATGTCACAACTTGAAAATCAATAATGTTCCTGTGCACCAACAACAAATGTACCCAGAGAGAAATTAGGAAAACCAGACACTGCAAAATAGAATCAAGAAAAATGAAATACTTAAGTATTAACCTATCCAAGGAAGTGAAGACCTCTACATTAAAAATTGTAGCATTCTGAAAATGGAGATCAAAGAGGATATCAGAAATTGGCAAGATATCCCTGTTCTCAGATCTAGTTTAAATGGCCATGCTTTCAAAAGTGTTATCCAGATTTAATGCAATTCCAATAAAAATACTAATAGCATACCTCACAGACCTAGAAAAAAATAATCCTAAAATTCATATGGAATCAGAAAAGACTCAGAACAGCAAAAGCAATTTTGAGCAACAAAGGCAAGGCAGGGGTGGGTTTGGGGGTCGCAATTCCAGATTTCAAGTTATACTATAAAGCTACAATGATAAAAGCAACTTGGTATTGGGGAAAATAATCTGAGGATAAATGGAACAGAAGAGAAGGTGCAGAAACAACTCCAAGCACATTCAGCTGTCTTATCATTGACAAAGGGCCAAATACCTTTACAGGAAGAAAGATAGCCTCTTTAACAAGTGGTGCTTGGAAAACTGGGTTTTCATGTGCTGAAGATTGAACCTAGACCCATGTCCCTCACCATGCACCAAACTACAATCAAAATGGATTAAAGATTCAAATATTGAAGATAGAATAGGTAAAACTAGAAAACATAGGTGTAGCCAGATATTATAAACAAAATCCAGATTGCACAGGGAATATTATAATCAAGAAATGTGATTATATCCAGTTGAAAAACTTCTGCACAACAACAGAAAACACCAACAGAGTGAAAAGACAGTCACAAAATAGGAAAAACATTTTGCCAGCTACTCCCCAGACAGAGTACTAATATCTAGAATATACAAAGGACTAGAAAAAAATTAGATGCCCAAAATTTAAAGACCCAATCCAAACCTGGGTACCTGAAATGAATAGACTCTTTTCCAATGAAGAAGAACAAGCAGCCAATAAATACATGAAAAAATGCTCAACATCATTGGCCTTTCGAGAAATGCAAATTTAATCAACACTGAGATTTCATTTCACTCCAGAAAGAATGGCTATCATCAAGAAATCAACAAATAACAAATGCTAGTGAGGTTGTGGGGAAAAAGGAGCAGAAATCGGTATGGAGATTCCTCAACAAACTAAAGGTAGAAATTCCATTTGACCCAGCGGTTCCCCTCTTAGGTATCTAAAGAACTAAAGTCATCACACTGCAGTGATACATGCATACCCATGTTTATAGGGGCAGAATTTATAACAAAATCTTGGAAACAACTGATATGCCTATCAACAGATGAATGGATAAAGAAAATGTTGTGTTTATACAAAATGTAGTACTACTCAGCCACAAAGAAGGATAAGCTTAAGACATTTTTAGGTAAATAGATGGATCTCAAGACCATAATCTTAAGCGAAATAAATAAGATCCACAAGTGTAAATATTGCATTGTTTCTCTTGTGTGAGAAACCCAAAGTATAAATAAAAGAAAAATGAAAGTAGGAAGAATTTGTCGAACTAGGAAGAGGAGCAATAGATGAGGGGGAGGAAAGGGAAGAAAGGGAAAATTTATAAAAAGGAATTGAAGGAAAAAAATTGGAAAGAGAGCTTTTGTAAATGG